TAATTAGCAAATTTTGTTTATTAAGTTAATATTTTTTATAATAAATTAATGTAAAAATAAAAATATAATAATTACTTAATATTATTAAAGATAAAAATTAAAGTTGAAACTAATTAGATAATTATTAATTAAAAATCATGAATAAAAATTAAAAAATTTAAAAGGATAAATTTGTCAATAAAATTAAAAAATTTCAATCCGCTAGCGATTTAATACAGAAAACTATTTTAGGTAGCTTTTTCAATATTCTAGCGGTTTAAATCCTGATTACCATTCACTAATTTCAAATTATTAGATAAAAAGTTTTATCAAATACCTAATTTATAATAGTTTTGAAATAAATAAATTTATCGAACACTTATTTTTAGTAATTTTGATAAAAACAACTAACAATTACCTCTAAATTACCATATCAAATTGCCCTTAATAAATGAAAACATAAATTTCAATACTACTTTATATTTAAATTAAAGATAAATGTTTCAACCGTCTAAGCAGCTTGACAGTTATTATTTTTTTAATCTAAATAAAAGATTTTGAATTTAAATTAAAGGTATATAAATGGAGTGGACAAAAAGAGAAGGTGGCGTTTTATGAGGAAATTTAAAATTAAAAAATAAAAATTAAGGGTAATTATGAAATTTCAAGTACTATTAATTTGACCCCATATTTTTTTTGCATTTTTATTTATAATTGTGTCAATTAAAATACAATTAAAATAAAACAAGGTAATTTCACCTAATTTTTTAGGATTGCATTTTTTTCTAATAAAATGAATAATGCAATCTATATTTATATTAAACGATGGTAAATACATTATAGGGATTGGTCGATCGATAAAAAAAATAAAAAAGACATTATAAGGAATGCCATACCTCTTAAAGAGTTAATCTAACAAATTATTATTCTTATTTACTACTATTAAAAACACATTAGAGCACAACGTACCGTAGTATAAAATAAAAAACAGCTTAGAAAGGTAAAATACTTAAATTCACCCCCAAAATATAATTGCAGGAACGGATCTACTTCGAACAAAAAATTGAGAAAAATTCACTTATAAAGTTTTTAATTTGAATAAATAATCTCAAATTTAACGTGTGACATCATCTAACATCAACAATTTGTTAATTCGTTAACGGATTGCTGATATCAGATGATGTCAAATTAACAGATTACTAATATCAAATGACATCACACATTAAATTTGAGATGATTTATTTAAATTAAAAATTTTATAAATAAATTTATCTTTATTTTTTGTTCAGAAATAAATCCGTCCTTACTACTATATTTTAGGGATGGATTTGAATATTTTACTCATTAAAAAATGGATACAATATAGTATGTGTAACTACTCTCCTATTTTTTAACATTAATTACACTGACACACGGCACCATATTCACTCTCATACCTCCAAATAAGGTTTGGTAAGGATGGAGTGCATGATATTCTCTAATATGGCTGCGATTCTACATTAATTTTGCTGGGGCCACAATACATGATCAATATTTCATCCAGTACATGTTCGTGACTTGCGTCGTGTTTCGCGTTGGCCTCGTCTGGCTTTTTCACACAACACTTTAATAAAAGTGTTAATTATTATGAATACATTAATTTTAATAGATATTTAATATAATTTAATAGTATATTAATGTATTAATATTTTTTAAACTAATTATTAAATAATAATATAAATTTTAATATAATAAAATACTCAAATAATTAACCACAGTTACAATATTCATATTAATATCTAACAGAACCTTGCATTATTTTCTTTTTTTTTTTTGGGTTTTTGATACTAAATTTTTAATATCTTGAAATTACATTAAATTTTAAATAATTTAGAATTGAATTGGTTCAAAACCTATAAAAAAAAAAAAATCTTTCCAGACACTTATTTTTCTATTATAAGACTCAAGTTTAATATTTTATTTAAAAAAATTAATTTTTTTTCACTTAATTCAACGATTATTAGTGGCCTTGCACTACCCTATACCTCTACACAACCTTTCTTATGTAGAAATCTAGATTATTTTTTTTACTTGGTTGGTTCTCGACTATTTCCCCATACTGTAAGTAGTCATGTCATTTGAATCTTCAACGATTTTAAGTAGGAACTCATTACTTTATTTTCTTCACCAATCAACCTCGATCTGCTGCTCATAACGACCACACATGACTTTGCTGCCCCTCAAACCACACAAGACAAAGACCAAATTCAGAGAAGGAAAACTTCGTGACGGTAACGAGCTGGTACCCATCCCCTGCATTTTCGTAAGTGCTATTCGGACTTTTGCACTTGCTTTCAAATTCACTCATCAGTTGGACCACAGCTCGTGTTGTGCAAAACGTTGCTTCGTCTTTACACCAAGATAGCTCCTTCCCACAATGATATGAGCTGGCAGGCAAAAAGGTGCTAGACAAATCTCTGCTAAGACGTGATACACATTGCAATTTGTGAATATAGAGGGATTTTCTTTATTACTCCTTACTTTTTGTTTTGGTTTGGACTGTTAGTGTATTTTAAAGCTAACTTATATGTACTTTGAAATTAATACATCTTTTAGCAGCTTTTTGCATAAAAATTAATAAAAGAAAAGAAGGGGAAGGGATGGGAGGAGAAGTGAAGGAAAGGGAAAAAAAGGTTGATATTAGTTTTCTTTGGATAAATAAAAGTGAAGGAGAAGAAAAGATTATATTTTCATTTAATTAAATAATTTAAAGAAAAATAAAATAAAAAAGAATAAAATTTTTAAAATTTATTAATTAAATAAATAGTTAAAATAAATTATTTATAT